TACAAGAGAAATGGAAAAAAAAAAACATCAATGCAAGCACTGCGATTATTACTACTACTGCAGTGTTACTGGTTCGACTACTACGACATGTACTACAGCATTTTTTCACATATCTGTTCTTTCCACTGACTTGATTTTGGTCGGAGAGTTGCAACTTCTAATGGGATTATAAACTAAAAAGGGTCGCCTGGGAGGAGGGTGGGGGGGGGTGCTGGACATTTGCTTCATGGCATTTTTTGCACTTTTTCATGGATTGCTTTTTTCGTCTTTTTTGGAACAAGAAGAGGATTCAAACACGGGGAGAAAGCGAACGCAGGACATGTCTGAGGACGTACATAGTAAGGCTGCTGCAGAAGATCTCAGAGGATAGGGGAGGCCATGCAGAAACACTCTGGGCTCTAATTGTACTTCATGATTTTTTAAGTGACCAATCAATTCATTCGGAGAAGGATTTCTTTTTGTTACCAGATGTGTTGGTAATCCACTCGCCCACTTTAATCCACTGCTGTAGATGATATGATTCAGTTTAACTCCACACTTCACACTGTCCCACTGTGCTCTGCCCCACCAGTCTGCCCACTCGGGTGGAGCTACAAATGAATGTAGTCATGGGGTTTAACTATAACAGAAGCTAATGGGGGATCAAATATTTCTGTTTTGCCATTTCTTAAGAAAACCCGATGCTTTATGGTAAATATCGTCACTTTATTACTTGAATTTGTTCATACTGTCCGATGTATTCGTTCCATCATGTCCGATGTATCAGTGATCTGTATCTCCAGACTCTACGTTGTTGAATCCTACCAAGAAAAGATGCATGACTTCTTGGCAAGAAAAGTCTTTGCTTGTGTACTTATGGTCCAGTCTTTCAGCCTATCCTCTGATTTTTCTTTCTTTTCTTTCTTTCCATCTCTCCCTCCATCACCACCTCAGTAGTGAGCTTTCCCTGTATTGTCCTGTTACTTTTCCTTTACTCCATGTGGCTTCATCTTTAGTTGATGGCTCCGTCTCTAAGAGAAAAAGATCTTGCCTATTTTGTGTTGTTCTGGTTTTGATCATGCAGGTTATTAATGTTCTTTTTAAACGAACTTCAGGGCCTGTGAAGGCTTTTGAGGGGAAGATCACATACATTGCCTTGACGTCTTAGAGATTCTTTGAGGGGTCCCTAAGCTTGTCCCAAAATAGGGGTTTGACAAATCCATATTTTTGACAATTGAGCGATTTCTGTATATAAAGAAGGCTGAAAGTACGTAGGAAAAAAAACATTTACCCAAAGGGGATTGTATTTTAGAAATATATTATTTTATTCATTAAAAATGGGTCAAAAACAGGTATGAGACAAAAACAGAATATTTGTATAGTTTTGTTTGAATGCCTAAGAAGTATGGTTGTATTGTTTGTAAATAGTGTAAATACCTGGGATAAAAATGAGCTATGTGCATGAAAAGTATGAACAGATTCAAAAGGGAAAAAAACAACAAAAGCAGTAGTGGCTATGCTCTGTAAAATTAAAACTATTTCACTATTAGAGTATTTTATTTTATTTTGATTGTTCTTGAGAAGAACATTTTGCTAAAGCATGATACTATTGCAATATAAAAAGTAAAAAAAAATACTGTATTTAGAGTTAGGAGAAGTCTGCAAAATTATCTTAAGACAAGTACGGTTATGTTTACATTTTCTTTGTTTTTTTTGTTTTGTTTTGGTTTTTTTTATTATTGGTTTGTTTTGGGCTACCAAGAATTTTTTGCCAATGGTGCCAAGATATGTGAATGCTATATAGCTTAAGATGAAGAATTAAGTTAACTTTTGCAGAACAGATAATCATACACACAAGCACTGAAGACCATATGATCACAACTGGCCGAGTCACTCCAACAATACGGTACACAGTCTGCAGAGGGGGGGTCGTGTTGAAGCAGAAAGCATTTAAGTCTCTCATGTCTCCACCATTTTCACAGACGCATTTGACCATCACTGGAAACAGTTTGACTTTTATTTTGTATGTTTTTATTGTTGTGGTTTAAAGGAATGTCATATGTTATTGAGATTCTGTCTGAACTGAGCAGCCTTGCCCAAAGTGATTACTCTTTCTCTCTCTCTCTCACTGAGAAAACAGTCTTTCCAGTAAAACATTGATTTATCAATATTTGGCTGATCCTTGTGCAAACTGGTGACAGGATTTCCCTTAATACAGTCTGCTTTAATAGAGAAGAACTCCTTGATCAAGGCTGCTGGGGTCTGAAAAGAGCTTGTACTCGATGTTTGAATCGAACAAAGACAAAGAAGTCATGCGTAGCGAACTTTACACGGTTGGGTTTTTTTTTTCTGTCAAGCAGCTGAAAACATTGTAAAACGCTCTCCTTTGACTGTCACAGGTGCTAAAATGAATCTCAAATTTGCAGCAATGGAGCGTTAATGAGTCAAAACGGTGCACTGGTGCCATTTAGAATTCTAGTTATTGTACACTTGATAAAGCAGATATAAGAAAGAGAAAAACACACATAAGCTGCTGATTTTAAGGTGCCTGTTGGTTGCTGCCTAATTCCTTTAAAATTTAATATACTCCTACCAGAAAGTGTTTCTGTGTCCAAGTAATGACATTTGATCATTCAGCCAAGTGCCACTGAAAAACTTGACCTTTATTTTGAAGTGTTGTCATGTTTCTTAGGCGAAGTAGATATTTCTCTGATTCATTGCTGTGGATAACAGGTTGAATTGTCGTTCTTTTTTTTGTTTTTTTTTCCACACTTCTGACATGTCAACTTTTTGTTTCCATAGTGTTTATGTAGAAAGTGCCTATTCATATCCCACTCACACTCAAACCAAGATTGAGAAAGCGTAATGGTCACCCTCGCGTTCATACACACACATATACAGTGCTGTATCCCCTGACATTAAACCCACCCAAGGCCACATTCTGATAAATCCCCTGCTCACACTATATAGTACCAGTCCAGCACTGCAGCCTGTCAACACGCTAAAGCTTTATTTCTTTCTTTTCTCTGCCTTCTGTTCTGTTTTCTACTGGGACAGCTTGTTAAAATCACATTTAGAAATGCCACTACTGGGGTTTGTTGCCTTGCATTCATCCTCTAGTCCGTGGTTAGAGTGCATAGCCGATGCAACGTGGTGGCAAAAAGGAGAAGGATTTATTATGCTTGCATGGGTAAAATAGTTAACTGGGTGACAGAACCTGCACCTAAAGCATGCTTATTTTCCTAGAATCGGTAGTCAGATAGACTTGTTAAAAAGACTCGAACGTTGGATTGAACATGTCACAGAACTCCGAGAGACAGAGGGCAAACAAGAATCCCTACAAAATGAGCCGATGATCAATAATCAGTCACTACTGACGTTTTCATGGCGAAGCATGACGACGAGATTGTTTTCTAGACTGAGCTCAAACTTTTTAGACTTTTTTCTTCCGTTTTTGTTTTTGAATCATTTAGATTTAATGAGTGTGCTCCCAACTTCAGACAGACCAAGGTTGAAGACAATTATGAAAGTATGTACAGCAAGTATTACCTAAAAAAAGTGACACACGGTACACACAGACACATGCACAAGACACAGCACAGCACACATGCAGACATGTCAAGGTGTCAGTTTCATTTGTACACAGAGAGCGGTGAGGGCAGCGTTTGCTCTTCTCCAGACTGAGGGACTGGTTCACCTCCCTTCTGTATTTTACTCAGGGTGCCAAAATGGGGAGGAGGAAACAGAGCAGGACATGTGATTCACGGCTGAAGAAGCTGAAATTGAAATACGGAAACCTTTCAGCAGGAGAATCTGGAACAGACAGATTCACGGTTGTTACACTGAAGTATTTAAATAAATGAATATAAATATAGTACCTGCAGACACCAGTGAAGCCCTGGAATAAGGTCCTGTTATATATAGCTCATTAAGAAAAAAGATTTGACTTTTTATCATAGATTCCTGTCAAATCATAGTATAATTCAGGCCGGTTCTTTAGGCCTTCAATTTATCTAGGTGACACAGAATAGAGGGTATTTAAGATTAAGAGTGTAGTTTTATGAAAAGTTCACCTGCAAATCTTGTTTTTACTGCCATTTGTGAATGGGATGACAGGTTAGCTGATAGGCACTCTTTCAGTAGTATTATAAATTTTCAAGACGTTCTGTGAATTGACCTGGGAATCTGCCTTTCCTCCTCTTCTTTTTCCCCGAGCGCCCAAAACCGGAGAAAGGTAGGCACATCAGGACAACAGAACAGAAGCAGTTTTACAACATATTCCACTCGTGGACACAGAGCAATAAAGAACTATTTTGTGGAGACCTATAGACCTAGTGAAGTTTAAAAATGATTGGACACATGTAGTCGACTTACTCTTATGCAAATGCCAGTATTGCAAGACAAGCATTCAGTAGATTATGGACAGCAATTATATGGCACCCTTTACCGAACTGCACGTTTTCATCAAATCCAAACCGAGAAGAAAAAAACAGGCCCTGCTTTGATAGAAAGCTGTGGGTCCTCGACACTTTGCATGTGAACTAGTGTTAGATCTATTTTCCTCTCCTCTATAGCTGTCTTTCTCTCTGTCTTTCCCTGTTATGTGACCCAGTTTTTCTCCGCCCCCCTTCCCGACCCTTAACCCCTAAAGGTTTCATCTCCTCTTGGTTCTCCTAATGTGTTTTGCTTTTCCTCCTTTTTCTCCCCCCTTCTCTTGTTTGTAAGTTTTATTTTTGTAATTGTGCATGTACAAGCGTCACTGACTCGATGGATATGTTTAAAAAAAAAGAGATTTCAGCTGCTGAAGCCATGCAAAACGTTTTGAATTGCCCTTAAAATATGGAAGATGTTTTCTGAATGCTTTATATTCTTTCTGCTGTAAAATAATAAAAAAAGGAAAAAATGAAGAAAACTCGAGAACAAAGCCTGCCCCGTCTTTTTGTTTCCTCTTTTATTTTGAAGGGAGGAGTTGTAGTTTTCAACACCTTATCATCAAAAAATACAACAGTCAAAAACAGCATCTGGGTGTAGTTTTATTTCTATTGAACATACAGTGTTGAAAAACCTCTGATTTTTCCACATAAATGTAGTTTTACACAACAATTTCTTTCATAATAACTCCAAAAAACATATCTCAATCATACTTTTCATAGTGTTTTTTTTAGCAAATGATGACATATATGTGTGTCTGTGTGGGTACGTGCACCCTAACATGCATATGCACTCATAAAGTATATGCATGCATGTACTTATGTGAGTGTGATATGGGGTGTTTCTGTTTAAGTGCAAGCCCTGTCTCCTGTACGTCGCATCAAAGCTCTATTTCAAACACAATACTTCCAGAAGCACTCTGTATTCCCGCCTCGCTTCCTAAACTGCTTCCTGATACCGAGCACATGGCTGAAAGGATTTAAGAGAGTCTGTTTCTCCATAAGAGCCTGAAAGACAGGATAAAGAAGTAAGGGTAAAGTGTTTGCTTACACCGTGTGGCACAGACTTTATTTTGCTGTGTGAGGATCACTAACCTCTCTTTTCATCCCATGAGGGAGCAGGCCTGTCGCTCTGACACCTGTGAGGAAGCAAATGTGAGATTTTCAGACTGAAATTGATGTTTTTTTATGATATCTAAGAGAAAACAAGACCATCAGACACAGGATTGATGATTTCGATGCATTAATTCTTAATGCCTTACACTGGTGTGAGAGAGTAGATGAACAAACAGCCCTGATTTTACATTGCTTTGTCCACAGGGGGCGCCAAAATTGGCACTATCTTAAAGTTCCTTAGAGGAGCTTTAAAGGGGTATTCTGGCATAAAATTAATTAAGGGTCAAACACACTGAGTTAGACAGCCCCTCGAGAGATGAATGTTGCTGACCGCTTGCTTCTCTAGTTATACCAACTTTAGTAACGACCGCACAATAGCAATACACAGTGGTCTGAGGAGCCATAAACAAACCTCAACCAAAATGGAATCAGATCGAGACGCTAAGGCAGAAGAACTACCGCGTTTGCAGAGCAAAATGATTAATATGATGATTATTACTTCAAGGAAATGATGAAGAAATGATCGTAAATGTTCTTCCTTGAGCTGCGTCACCCCACTACAAACAAGCAGCCGCTGGAAGAGAGTAGGTGAGTTGTGTTTAGTCTCTTTGCTCAAGAAATTCGGCAAAGTTAAAAAGATGTTTGGTGGCTAGTACTATGGCTGGGACCCTATATGTACTGCTGATGAAGTTAGGTGCTGTTCTGAGCATTATTTGTGGCTATAGAGTGGCGTTTTGGTTGAGGTTTGTTTATGGCTCCTCAGACTGCTGTGTATTGCTATTGTGCGGTCGAGAAGCAAGCGGTTGACAACATCCATCTCTTGAGGAGGTGTCTAACTCTCTGTTACAGTGTGTTTGACCCTAAATCAATTTTACGCCGGAATATCCCTTTAACATGACTTATTTAAGCTTGTTGCATCTCTCTGTGTAAGCCAGGCTTTTGAGCGTTAGCAGAGGAAGTGTTTACAAAATAAAAGCACAGACTTGTGAAAATACAAGATTGTCACTTGCACCTCTATCCTGGTCTTACTTCAAACTTCCAACCCTCTGCTCCTCAGCTATCCCTGTGTGTTACAGTTCAAATTTTTTAGCTCAGTGCGGCTGCAGAAGAGAAAGTGGGTGTGTCTCACCGTCTCTGTTCATCTCGCCAGACATCAGAGTGGGATATCTCAGACCGGCAGCATCCTGCAGGGGGAAGGTCTGCTCAGAGAGAGACAGATCATCCAGATTGCTGACTCCTCGCTCCTCTACTGACACTGTAATTAAATAAACCACCACAATTTGCAAATTGACAGGTATGAATTCAATAAGTATGTATTTTCTTTAACTTGTTATTTAAATATTTTCTAGTTATTTCATATGTTTAAGGACCATGTACGATTTTAAACCCATCCTCAAACTCTCTCACCCCACCTCCAATAAATTACAGCACAATAACGTCATTACATCCCAATTAAAACTTACTGTTTTAATATTCAACAGAAAACTTTATAATTCTATGACTGCCAAGAATTCCTGCAGTTATGCTCATTGATGTGAGAACTTTGGCAGAACAATCAGTGTTCAACACCGCAGCTCCGAAGCAATTACATCAAAGAATTGCCTCCCATTAATCTTCACAAATGAGATTTTATTACTAAAAGCTAATCAAGCTCCCAAAATAAGCTCAAATGGAGATGTTATTTTCCACTCACCAGGTCCTGGATAAGGCATCTCAGCAGATTCTGTGATGGGGTGGGCCAGCAGTGGACCTGAGGCGAGGATCATGAAGGCCCAGGTGGACAGGAGGTGGTTGCTCTTCATCCCTACAGGCGGCTAATGTGTGAGGTGGGTCTGACCTGAACGGAGCTCCTCAGGTGGAAAGAAGACTTGTACACGCTCTGTTGGTCCTAACTGGGTTATATACTTCCACCAGTATCTTCACCCCCACCTCCCTGCATGCTAAACAGTCATGCTTCTACTGGCCTACACAACCATCAGCAGTATCCCATCCTTTCTTCGTGTGATAAATCAACAGGATGTCAGAGGTGAATTATAGGATCAATAAAAAGACAAGAGCCGCGGCCCAGGCTTCAAGGGCACAGTCATGTTTTAGCAGCTCTTCTGCCTGATTGACTGTTTTACTGACTTTGGAAATGGGATCGAAGATGTTGTTTCGGATGTCACTCTCCGCAGCATCCCACAGGGGAGCAGGTGGAGGAACTGGCCAGTCAATGACGAATGTTTTTATGTCACCAGTTCATTAAACTCTCAGGCCATTTGAATCCCCCTGACTCAAACCCAGAGAGAGAAAAAACTGTAACAGGGTAAAAGCTGCATACAAAGCAGGAAGAAAACCTAATAAAACGGCATAATTACCGGCACTGAGCTTCAGTGAAAATGCTAAAATGTTCGAGGCCTCCCAGCCTATAAGCCACTTGACATTTTAAATCAATTTTAGACAGCAGAAAGGGAATTTTCCACGGGTCACTGAATCAGATTGAATCACACACATAATTTAAGGGCCCTGTTCTGGTTAAATGCTACATTTGTGCTTTCACTTCTTCTTTGTCACGCAGTAAAACCAACTTTATTAGTTCTTCTAAAGTGAGAAAAGCTGCTCCACCTTCGAGGACAGGTGGAGACAGATATTTACTGAATCATATTTTGTCCTTCTCTATGTAAATTATACACTTATAGGAAGGTTGACGTAAATTCTCAGGCCCTTGTATGATAATGAGGGTCGACCAAGCGTCAGTGACATTTAATTTTACGACCAGAAGGCTAGACGCTCCATTAGGTGTTGTCGTATTTCATAGAAAGCTATTAAGATTTATATTCTGTATTAGCCAAGGTCCCACTGCTGATCCCTATTCCAGCATCTAAAATAAATGTTTTCTCCTCCCTGCTTCAGGTTCATCGATGGAGAAGACATAAAAATCTTCTCGGCTTTTTATTTTGTGGAAGAAACAATGACTTTCCTTTTTTCAAGCTTCATACAGATTAAAACATTTTAGTTTTTAGACGTGTTTATCGGTCACACAGTCTAGAGATTTCACTTGACTCTGAAAAAGATTGTCTGAAACTAGAAAAACTTGATTGTTGAATTATTTTTCAGAGGTTTAAAGCAAAAGTAGCTTAAAATTTACCATTTTATTGTTAAAAGCAAAGCCCTGCTGTGTTAACATGTAAGCTGTGTTATATTTTCATGTGTATCTGGTGATACATGGTCTGGTTGGATCTCACCTGGTAGGCGGTTTAAAAATCACAGCAACACAATGTTTTGTGGGAGTGTATTATTAGCTGTGCCAAGAAATACAATCTCATTATATGCAACTGCAGCTGTCACACGAATGTACTGAAGCAAAATCAGAAAAAATCGTACCTTGATAATGTAGAGTTCCTTTTATACATCACATAATAGTTAAATTTTAAAACAGCACAGTGACAGTCATCAGTTTTCGGGCTCAAATGGTGCCATTGACTATTTTTTTCCAGGTGAACACATTAATCTTTAAACATTTCACATTATCGAGGGTTTAGGATGACAACAAACAAAAAATATTTAATTCAAATAGGGTATCCAAACCCTGAAAATATAATGATTTATCTGCCCTTTGTCTAGGCATGTCAAATAAACAGCCTCAGCCAGTATGTGACCGGACAGGTTTGTGTGACATGACAGTATTTGACTTCATGAAGCTCTGAGTGATATATGTACAACCAGCAGGGGGCAACGTTATTTCAAGAGAACCACCTTAAACCTGCTGTACACTCTTCAATACATTCATTTGGTAGTATTAACACTTCTGCAGCACTTCCCAGAGAGAGCAAAAAACAAACCCACTGATTGGTCTGGTACTTTTACTTTAAGTCCTCTCAGTGTCTGTCACACTGAGACTCTCACCATCCTGACTCAGCTATGAATGTCATATTATTATTATTCAAACATAGTGAACAAAACATACATTTATTGACACTTTCGTCTGCGCTGCAGAAATATACTCTAATATTATGTCATTATTATAACTATTTTAATACCTGATGTGACAAAAATGTATTACACATCAACCCCTATGTGTTATATTGCTGACACTGTACTGTTTATAATACTAAATCCTACTAAATTACATTATACCACATTACTACTACCTGTTGCATTTTTTAAACTTTGTTTTGTGTAATAATTTTGCACAGTTTTACTTTAACTTTTCCACATTATATTGCACCATTTAGCCCACATGCCATGACATACTACACATGACAATTTAGTACACTACATTTGATGCTTTGGTTTTTACTCCTGAACTCCTCATGGATATTTTATAACAAACTCTAAACCAACACTACTTCATATCACTTCATACTTGTTTAACTTACTTTAGTTTTATTTTGTTTCTTTTTTCCATGTCTCTTCTCTGTAAAACTCATTTATGGCATTTCAGCTCCAGTGAACGGAAAACTCGACTTGTTAAATGCTGCCTTCATGTACTATTAGGAATATTACATCTCAATGGGCACGCACGAAAATAAACCCAGGGTCTGCGTATTATTATAGTTGTAACATTTATTTTGGGAATGGGGACACAAACTAATAGTGAAAGCCTACTTTGTTTTGTGGCATCTTAAAAATTATGCAACAATCTCCGCACCGTTTAATCCGTAGTTTAACCCTAAAGCAGGAATTGGCGGGTCTTTTCCCCGTATTCCCCTCTTTACGGGTTTTTCTGTGCAAATCTTTTTATTCTGTTTCTTTGAGTATTTAAGAAGCACAGCGGCAGAATCCTAACTTTATAGTCCTCAGTATTTCTTCTCACACTTCGTGACCGGTCGTGATTCAGTTTTGGCAGGAAAAAGACCGAGCTTGGAGGGGTACCTGAAGGCAGCAGCTGTTAACCGCCCCCACTGAATGCGTGTGTATGTGTATGTGTGTGTTGTCGTACAGGAGCTGAAGAAGCAGCCGGAGCGACAGACTGTGGGCTAAGTTTGTCCACCCTGGCTTCCCATCACGAGTCGACGACGGAGAGGCTTTGTTTCATTCATGAACAACAAAACCGTCGCTTTCGCTTCAAATTCACACCGAAGGAAGAGGCGTTAGAAACGGTCAGGCACGTCCGTGACATTTTGGAAGAGAAGACAGAGAGAAAGTAGAGAGAGAGAGAGAGAGGAGAGTGCGACGAGGGGACTCTAAAGTTGACACTTGGCTGTCATGTTTGCTACTTGTTGAATGTAAGGCTGTGTGTTTGTGTACACACAAACATACACACACACAACAGTGGAGTCTGTGTGGGCAGCGTGCTGCGAACAGGTAGGTTACAAAACAAAGAGTACTAACAATTGGCCTAGTCTAATGCAGCTATTGTTTTACCTCCAAGGCTTCTGTGTTAGCCTGCTCAGTCTCAGCTAACTATCACTGTTTTAGGGGAGACTGGGGTAAGTTGTGCCACCCGCTGTTGTTTGGAAATGGTAAAATTGATCATGTGACCAAATATTTAAGAGATGGACATCAATTCATGGAGTCTGAGAAGGTTAGAGATTTATCTCCAAAAACATCTTTAACTCTTGAAAGTGAATTTAGTCTGTCATAAGTGTTATTAGAATTGTGTTAGGACCAAAAAAAGATCATTTTAAATTTGTTTTAAACATCAATTGTGGTATTGTAGTCCACCATTTTAGTTTAAAGGACTAATAAAGTCATAATAGTAGTTCTGGGGTAAGTTAAACCAGTGGCTCAACTGAGAAAGTGAAGAAGTCTGATGAGTTCAGATTGTTGAAATGTGTTTTCAAAACTACAGCTGAGAATTCTGAATCTCTTAGACAGTCTCATGTTAAAATGGCTTTTTATAATACAACTTTGGAGCAGTCATATGCAATAATTATAAGAACTTTATTTGTATATCACTTTTAAAAAACAGAAGTTTACAAAGTGCTTTTACATATAGTCATAGAGCACATGAAAGAAGACAGATAAAAACAAAAAGCTCAATAAAAACAGAATTGAAGGTCATTTTCATGTCATTTGGAACCCAGACAATACAAGAACCATGCAACATAAAACAGGATAGTAAATATAAAAGATTATAAAAAGAGTTATTGTACCAGTTGAAAAGTGTATCATAGATGAAAATACACATGAATGTGAAGAAGTGACTGTTATTTAGGGAGAGAGAAGGTGAGGGAGGGGTAGGTTGACCATAGGAGACCACTTTTTTTGGCATGCTATATTATCAAGACCATTATGTTTACACTCATTCTGTTTGTTGTCTGATGAACAACATCTTGAAATATATGCAGATACACTAGTTAGAGACAAAACTATGATTGTCTTGATGTAGTGCTATTTGGAGATAATAACACTAAGATGATGAATTAGTAAGTTGTTCAACTAAAGGAAACCAAAGTTAATCAATTGTCTCTCTATAGATGTCAACTTCTTTAGTTTTGTTACATCTCCCACCCTCTCCTCTACCATGTCAGGGTCTTCTGGATCACCATGAGACAGTGACAAACAGGGACAGTGATGGCAGAGCTGGAAATTGACCAGACCAACCTTCCACGTGTCCAAGAAGGTAAGCAAACACTGTGACAGGAAACCTCCTTCATCCACAGTAGGGAGAAAGTTGTAGATTGTTCCATGCATTAGTCAGGGCCAGGTGTGGTTCCAGCAGGGATTAAGTATATATATATATATACTTTGAACATGTAAGCAAATATTAGAGGTAGATAAAGCAACCTTCAAGTGAAAAGCTGGCTTTCACACTAAGTCGCAGCTGTTTTTGTCTGTCCTTGCGTGTCAGCTTTATTGCTTTGGCTTCTTATGTGTTTTGACTTCTCTTAAAGCCGTGCAGAGGGATTTTATCTTGTTGTGCTGCAGATAAGAGAAAGAAATGAGATGGATGTTTGGGACTTTTTGGGGGAAGGAAGTGCTGTTGCATGAGAGGAAGACTTCAGTAGAGTTTATTGTTTTTAAATTATAACATTCAACTTATGGCCCCTGCAAAGTAAACTGTCCCCAAACGGAAATTTATAAAACCCACACGGAGAAATTATGAGGCTCAGTTGGTTTCTTGTGTTACAGACTCCGAGTATGAATCGGCTTGCTAGGAAAATAAAGGCATTAAGTTGAAGTCAAGGAGAAATATGTATCTGCTGGATACTAAAAGTTGAATTAAAAGAGCAGTTTGACAAACTGGCTTAAGAATTTGTCATGGTCATATGAGTGCAGCTCTTATGAACCACATCAGTCACGTCTGTTTTCATGCTGGTATGAAATATTCCCAGGTAAGTCGGTCTAAGCCGCGGCCTGGGTGTAGACTGTTGACCCAGCCTTTGGCGTATCCGCACTAATGAACAGGATGGAAATAGGTCTGCTTGTCTTTTATCATGGGAGATAATTCAGCACTTCACTCTTGTTCTCAGTACACAAAGGGCGCAGTGTGCAGCTTTGCATTTTCATGCTTAATCAAGCAGAGGCTGGTGCCCAAACAAAGCCAGGAACAGCAGCAATAAAATGCCCATCCAGACAATTGTGTCAATTAAGATCAAATGTCCGGTCGGGGTTATTTACCCGCTCATCCTCCACTTTCTCCAGACAGATTTATCAGACTGTGTTTCTGTTTTTTCTGCAGCATGGGGGTCGTTTACTCCATGTCCCAGTGTGGGTGTTTATGTTTCAATTTCCCTCAGAGCCGTAGATCCTCGTGTCCCACTTCTCCCTCACTTCCCTCGTCATCCAGCGATCTCTCAGCCAAGTCAACTTTCTTTGTTTTCACTGCCCCCCTTATCAGTTCCTGTGTTTTTTTTTTCCTCTCCTCTGGCTGCTCCTGATTTAGCCTGATGTGGTGAGGGAATGCAGCTCCCGGAGGAATTCCCCCACCTCACCCCCTCCCCTGCTCCTAATTTCACTCTCACCAACTGACCCAGAGCCCCGCTGCCCCTCACCTCTCTTTGTTTTCCATGACAGCCCGGTCCAGTTCATGGGCTTGCTGGCCCGGCGCACCAAGTTTATAACACACACAGAGAGAGCTGTGGGATGAACGGGCACTTAGTGGTGAATTTTTGTGCGAAAAAAGCAGTATGCTGGAGACGAGAACAGACCAGAGAGGAGGAGAGAGAGAGAAGAGGGAGAGGGAGACGGCATGTGGGCGGTCGGTGAGGGATTTTGGCTGAAAATAGAACCCTTGTCATTTTCTCCTTTCGCCTGTTTCTTCGTTTGGCAGGCGCTCGCCTCTGTTGCTGCTGCTGCTATCCAAGTGGCTGTGAAGATAAAAGAATGATATCTCTGTCAGTGTTTTTTGATCGGCTGCTCCCTCGTGCTGGATGCCTGAGATAATCTGCATAATTCTGTCAGATGATTCGACGTCCGTTCTTGAATGCTGGACTGAGGTTTCCGGCTGTTCTGCTGAAAACACAGACTGCACACTTTCCTTTTGTGAGATTCAGTCACATCAGCAGAAATGAGAAGTAGCTACATGTGCAATTTCCCTGCACTTTTCCTGCACCAGACCATACATTTGGTAGCTGCATATATTTTTAATTCCAGTCTCTCTCGTCTAGAGTTGTCGCTGCTGATTTCTGTTTTCTTCTGGATCTTTATTTTACAATCCTCTCAGGAAACAGACTCGACCAAACGGGGTCTTTTCCGCGCCCTTATTAAGGAGCTTATGGTGGAGGTCCCTCCAGATATTTGAAAACACACTCAGCCCGGACCCGCCGCACACCCTCTCCTCCCTCAAAACCTGTTCAGCAGTCATAATAACACGCTCTCCTCGTCCCGCCTCTTGAAGGGTAATGTGACCGTAGTTTGAAGGAGTTTGGAAAAACAAGTTAACCCGCAATGCAGACACACCCACACAGACAGACAGACCTGACATTTCTCTCTATCTGTCCCCCCTTTCCTTTCCTTTTCACTCTGCGTCCTGAGAAGGATTTAAGCGTAAACTCATGTTTTAGACCGTGGGATTAAAATCAAGCCTTTGACTTAATCCCTCCATATTGACAGACTGGACGCGAAAGGGCAGGTGGGAGATCCGTTTAGCGGATAGTCTGCTAAGCTCTGCGACAGGTGTAAGTGGTAATGCGTGTCTGCCTCTGGTATGGGTGAGCTCTCAGCGTCGACTTATGTGGCTGTTTCTGGTGTAAACAGACACTTTTGAAGGCTTAGTTCTGTGCAGGGAATTTTGTTTCGAGTCGTGATAGAAACATAGAAAACTATTCCAGACACTTTTCTCTGTTTTTTTATGTTTCGAAAGGAGTCTAGGTTATTTCACAATGTGACATCTTTCACTTTCCTGTTTACAAAGCTGAACAAAGGGAAGATATCCACAGTTTGACTAGTTGCATCCACTGAGAGGCTGTTTTCTAAATATTGAAACTCAAAGTTTCATTGTTAGAGTTGTCTTAAGTAGGTCAATTATGCAATTTAGAGAGAGCATTTAGATGAATGTGAGTTCAGATAGAGATCGAGGAATGCGAGAGAGAAAACAAGATCTAGTTGACTATGACAAAGTCTCCAGGTGAGCAAACAGAAGTTTAAAGTGCAGGATGGGCCTGAAGCTTCAGGGTTCGTCTCTTTTTAAGACATACTGATGAGAATAGACGAGATAAATCCCCTCTCACGATGAATCTGGAGGCCTCACATTCGTTCTCGTCACCCGTGGCACCACCCAGCCAAACCTCAGCAAGTAAGTAGCAACAATTCAAGAGGCTTTACTTGATCTATACCAGGGATTAGAAGAAAACAATGAGGATTTAAAAAGTTTAGTCAAATAAATAGAGAGTGTTGTCTTACTTTGGTAATTAGGGTGAAGAGATCCATCAAAGTGGATCAATGCAGTGACCGGTAATCGAGCAAACAGCTGTGCAGATCCATTTAATAATCAATCATCTAATGAAATGTGAACTTTTTGATTCTCCGGTTCTGAACTTTTGTTGGTATCAGGTTCTGAAATGTGAAGAGTTGCTGCTTAGAGAGGAAGCGTTTGAGTTTTGTTGTGCTGGTTTTGAAAAGGAGGATTTTGAAGATATCTTTTTTGACATTTTAAAGCTCCTGTGAAGAGTTTTTCTTTTCTTTTTTGTTGACATTTATGATACAGACAAGGATTGCTATCTAGAGCCTGAAACTACTGCAAGGGGGGGGGTCGGTGTTTTGTACATTTTACACATAAAATAATCACAAAAAAATGAAACGTTTGACAGTCAAGAGTCAGCAGAGGGATATTTAAGTCAAAAGACAGTACTGAAGTGTGTAGATAATAAGACTGCGTTGTCCACAGAGGATTTCAATCTTGCCCTGAACTAAAAATCCCTTACAGGAGCTTTAAATAAATACATGAATAGTACAAAGTCAAATAAACCAAATTTATCCACACTAAAACAGCTATTAGATAAACTGATTATTAAAGGAAATGTTAGTTTTAGCTCGAATTAAATAAAATGGATGTATTAAAAGCTTTCTTTATTAATTTGTGATAATAAACCTTTATTTTGAAAATCCTGTTGTGCATTTTGACTAATGCGTCTGTAGAAAGAGTCTCATACCAGCCAACCTGAAGTGAAAACAGTTGGTACCTGAGGATCCTGAGCTTCACACGAGTATAAACACAGGTGTCCTCTCCTCAGCTCTTAGAGGCCGAGTTTAAGATGATTAACAGAGCTGATGTTTTTAATGGGCCCGGCTTCTGGATCAGTCTGCAGGCTTTTCCCTTCACAGCGAGCTAAATCACGTCTCAAACACCATTCCCCTGCCCGTCCGCTGAGATTTAAAGGCGCCATTGTGGTTAAGGAAAGCTATTCTGAGTCCCCTGATGAAAATGAGGGAGATGGCAGGGATGTTTGTCTGTTCGCAGCGAGCTGTGTGTCCACGAGGGTGGAAGAAGTGGAGAATTCAGCTCCCTGTCTGCCTGCCTGCGTTTATTTCCTCCCGAGTAACTTTTCGAGTTTGTTTGACAGTCTGTAAACACACCTAAGCTTCAGTGCGTGCAGGGCTACTGGAAGCACTTAGCATGTTTATGGATTTTACTATCAATAACTGAAAACAGAGGGAGCTCTCCGCCTCATGGTTCGAGTTTTAAAATAAAACAAAGCTCTTAACACTCACTTATGCGGACTAGCCCTCCGTTTGACTACTTCTGTTCGAGAACACTCATGTATACTCTGAGTTTTTGTCTGAAGTGTAGCCTCAGATGAGGTGAGGGGGCGTTAATGACACGAAACTGAGATCTTTTAGGAGCCTATCCAGCAGCAGGTGGCTAGATTAAAGGAGCTCTGAGGGAAGATTCGGTTTTCTGCAGAGGGCCTCAATATGGCGAGCCAGATCGAGAGGTGTAAAGAGAGCTCAGACCTAAAGCCTTTGGATTTCTAACAGCCTCGCAGTTTTCACTCTACATGCATTTGTACAATCTTCACAGGATAAATGTTTGCAGGTGGTTCCTAAACTTTGCATCTTCATTTGGTAGTCAGAGCGAGCGCTTGAGGAAAAAGAAAAACCTGTATCCACAATTGTACATGTGTGTATATGCACATACATGTCGAAATAGACGGCTTTTCTTAGAGCGAGGCCAACCAAATCCTCTGTTAATTCTGTACCCACTAACTTTGGCAGGACAGTAAAATTGTGGCCTCCTCTGTGTGTCTCTGGGATATTGGTACCCTGTTATGACAGTTCCTTCAAGGTAGCTTTTTATATATTTGTAAAAGAAATTCATGCCAGAGTGGTCAGTGGTTTCTTCTTTATATAGCTGAGAGGGACATTGTGTCACTTTTGTCAAATAAACAGTTATCATCATCACACACAGCACTATACTTTGTCCTCCAGACTGAGTGATAAACCAGAGCTCTGTTTTTGGATTTGGATCTTCAACGCTATTCTTGACTTTTGCCATCTCCCTGTCCTTTAAGTGATTGTTAGTAAGTGTTAATTTCCTGTGTTGTTACAGTGTGCCAGTGCTTTGCTGTGCTGGAGGATGGAGTGTTGGCACACAACCTGCAGGAGCAGGAAAGTAAGTACAATGTCAAGCTGCGCCAACAGGTGCTAATGTGCGCTAATTTATATCATGGATGTTTTCTCCAGCATCTCTATGATTCACCACTTTCTACATACGAGGATTAGTTCTGAGATCTTGTGTTTTTTATTTGTATTTTCAATGAAGTTAGAAGAAAATATTTTATAATTTTGATACAGTCTATGTTTAGAGAGGAGCCTTCTATCTTCTATTTTGTTCACTTTCTCTGTAGGTGTGTTGTTTTAATTTTTCAGTATATCAAGTTTCATAATTTTGTGTCTGTCTTTATAATGAGGGTCAGCATGAGAAAAACATGTTTTATAATTAGCATATTCGTAACTTATCAGTACAAATGACAGTGTGTTAATATACTTTCAATATGAGCCTTTCACTGTCTCTCACTGGACACTTTCCCACCCTCTTTGCTTCTCCCTCAGTTGAGAAATACTATTCAACCAACATCCAGAAGAACCAACTCGTGCAAAACGACATCCGAGTTGCAAAACAGCTGCAGGACGAGGAGGAGGAGGAGCGAATGCAGCAGAGCGCCCTCCTCAGACAGGCCTCTAGACAACTGTAGGTGACCCCTGCTGCTGCTGAGACGCACTTTTATACTGCATTAATCACATGATACTGCATGTCCTTTATGTACCCCGACCTTACTCCCTGCAGGTTTACTTTATGGTATTAATATCTCACGTGCTTGTTTGAAGATATGATTGTAGTTGCATTAGTAATTCACTGTTTTTTTGTCTGTTACAACGCCACAGAGAGGAGCAAGACTTTGAGTACGCCCGTTTGATCCAGGAGGAGATCCAGCGCTGCGCTGAGGAGGCCCAGAGGAGGGAGCTGGATGATGAGGTAAGAACAACAAGTGTAAAAGAAGATTAATTGTTCCGGTGGTCACATGATCGTCATTGTGTTCGGAGTTCCCATAGTTTATATCACTGGTATAAGGAGTGCAAAGGCCACCTCTGACTGATCATAAACCTTCACCGACTGCACACGTGTTTTCAGTTTGGAAATCTGCACGTGTTCGCATCTGTGTCTGTATACAACTGTTATTTCTCCCAAAGAGGGCTGCACACACTCTAATGTTAACTTAAACGGTAAAATGAGTGGACTCTGTAATAAGTAAGTTGACAGAAAGCTTATTAAAACACGGCGGACATAAATGAGGCTTCGATGATGCGTACGGACGCTTTAGATAAATGTTTACTCCTATCGTCTTTGCCCACAAGAATATTTTATCAGTGTAATAGCAAATAAACCTGTTTGTTAATACTGCAAACCCAATATGCTCTGCTATATGGAAGTAAAAGAATGTAAAACTGGTGATAGAGCACTAAAAAAGTCAATCAATCAGTTGATCTTCATTGAGGTGAGTAACAGGGGTCAACCCAAGTCTGAATCTGCTCCAGCTGTGTCAAAAAGGAGTGTCTAAGTAAAACCAGAGGTGAGTCTCAACCCCAAATATAACTTTTGATTGTTGAAAACTGGCCTGTTTCCACCTCACAAGCAAAGTAGCTGTAGTCAGCTTGAAATCGTGTCAGTTGCAATTAATCCCAAACCACTATCTAGTGCAAGACACAATGGACTGTGTTAATGGATAATGCTGTAATTGATTATCTGCCTCAGTAAATGTTGAAGGCTGTAGGAAGAATTTTTGGTGGCGCACAAAGCAGCAAGCAGCAGCTCGTGGAGGTAGATTAAAGGCTCTTTGTATCTAAAAGTACAGCCCTGTGTGCAGACAGAGCTGCTCATAATAAAAAAGGCCAATCCTGACAGCTGGCAGCAACCTTGAAAGAGCAGCGCCATTATCTCTAAAGTTCTGCACATTCAGCACACGCGCTCGTGGAGTTACATGGCACTTGGGACATACTTATGTATCATTTAATTATCTGCCTGTTACCAGCAGGTCAGGGAGTCTCACATGGTTCACTTTGCTCTCTCTGAGGACGATCTGGGTCCATAATGAACGGCGGTTGCAGCAAAGTGCTGCTCTGGGCCTCTGCTGCGTCCACTGTACGAGCAAAGTCAGCTGCTAGACGGAGACACAAGCTGTCAGCTACCCATGATGGCTCAATCTCCAGACATGGACCATCAGCCTGTCCACACACTCACTCCTGTGTGCTCTAAGTCTCACTCAGACGGGTCAAATAAAAAAGTCTGAACATTGTTCTTGAGCGAGTTTAATCAAGAGAGTGCTTCAGCCTCTTTGAGGTTCCTTAAATGGTTTAACATTTTAATCCAGTTTACCAAACTGGTTAGGTGAACTTGTTTAAAACCCAGCGACACGCCAGTTTGGTAAACTGGGAAATCTTTAAATTAATGGTGACAGCTGAGAAGTTCCTCAGGCTGTTTTTGTTGTAGCACAGAGTTCATCTCGGTGTCCTAGTTTGTACTTTAATTGTTGTTTCATGTAAATTACGTGTTAGTTGTCGTGATCACTGTTAAAGCTGATAAATTATTCTCTCTGACTCGGCAGTGGTTTGTTTGAAGCAGCAAGAAGCATCAACAATAAAAGCCATATTTTGGTATATATGTTTGAATCAGTAAATTAGAGTTTCATTGACTGATATTGATTTGTAACGATACGCAAGATTACGATTTGTTGGATAGTAACATCAAAACTTTGTAAATTGTTTTTATCGAATCCTTTAGAGCAGCGGTTCTCAACTGGTCTCACTCTGGGACTCACATTTCCTCATGGTCCTTAAATCGCGACCCACTTTTAAAGAATTCAAACCAAGCAAATTAATTTTTTTACTTAAAAAAAAACCTTTTAAGACTGAAATCTTTCACACAAATACACCCGTTTTATTGAGTAAAGTGCATTTCAGAGCACATAAACTGAGGACGACAACTACTGAAGTTGCTTATACAGAAAACAACAAATATCAAATAAATATCAAATTGCACAAAATAAGTTATTTTTCAAAATAAAAGACATGTCAAACATCAGATGCACTTTAAATATTTACTTTTTTGACCAGCTGTTTGCGACCCATCCAGAATGTGTCCATGACCCACTTTTGCGTCAGGACCCACCAGTTGAGAACCATTAAAACCACCACAAAAAGTCGTGCTTGTAGAGTTTCCAATCTAGAATAATTTCTCAACATAAACTTTGAATCTTTCTGCTAATCCTGCTCCAGTATCAGAAAAAATCTCCTCCTCCTGCTCGCTAACTTACCTCTTTCTGCCAAACTTTGTCAGAGGAGCTCTAAACATAAACACTTCACTAAAATTCAGTATAAAGACACTGCTCCCCTGTCACTGATAATCTAATTTTACTATCTAAATCATGACAAGACATCTGTATATTTGACACTACTTCAAAATCAGTGAACTTTAATGTCTTTCATTGTTTTTTTTTGTATCTACTTTTCAACACAAAACTTAACCGTAATATCTCAACGTTCCTGTTTGAGTCGCTGTGACATTAATGTCTCTTCCCCTGATTTGTTCTGGAGCTCCAGATCTCAAGGTCCAGAATTTATAAATACAAACTACATTTCAGTCTGCAGCCCAAACAGGAAGGGGCAACCAGATGGTTCCCATCAATCACATCTCCCATGTTTTTCCAACATTCAGCTCCTCAAACTCTTGTGTTTTTATGTCTTTGTGTATTTTCAACCAGAGCGTGCTTTTCTGAACATATTTCGCTCTATGAGGGGATAATCTGACTGCCCCCCCGAACAGAGGAAAGAGTGGAGCTGTGCACGAAGAAGAAGAAGAAGAGCATTGTTGTGTAAAACTGCTAATTCTGCCACAAAACTCCCCAGCTGGTGCAGTGGAGCAGTCTGCGTCACAAGGCCGCTCCAGCATGATATTTTCCTTTACCCTGCAGTTTCCTTTCAGAGGAGGCTGCCTTGGACAGGCTTATAAGAGCTCCTTGTTTGGAGGATGTGAGGTCAGGGAGGCTGTGGGGGTTCATTCATCATTAGAAAGGGGGTTTAGGCTCAGCTCTGTTGGAGGAAACACACGGTTGACGAGTGACGACTCATTTACCTTTTAGGTAAAAAGTCATGTAAGGTCGTGCAGCACGTGGTGTGAGTAAACATTTATTATGGGTGTAATTATTTCTCTTTATGAGTGTTGCTGCTGGGATCAAATAATGAACTATTACCACTCCTGTAAGCTTACCTTCCTTAATGACTGGCTGATCAGAGGTGTTGATTAAATATTTGCCTCCCTGTAGAGGCTGCCTTTAATTAAAGCAACAGAAGGCGTCAGGCTGAGCTGTTTTAAATGCCAGATCCCTATGGCACTCCACACCTAACCTCCCATGGCAAGTCGCTAATTGTCTGCTGATGCTGGCAAAGCGGCTGACACGCACGCCCCGACTGCAAAGCACAAAAAAAAAGGAGCTGCGTTAGCTTTGGTTATGATTTATGTTGTAAATGCAGCCCACAGAGAGGGATTTCATGAGATTAACTGTTCGTTTGCCGATAAGTATCAGCAGCGGATTTTCCAAGAAGAAGAACAACAGTCGCACTGTGGGGCGTCTCCTTCAGAGCGCAGACACTTACTGTACAGAGGAGGCTTTCTCCTCCAGTGACGAGGTGTTACTCCAAGTGAAACAGTCCCGCTGACCTGTTTCCGCTGTTTTTTGTTCCACAGTTCAGATGGAAGGAGATGAAAAGTTCACGTCTGTCGTGCAGTTTCCTGGTTACTAATGTGCATACAGACACTTTTTATTTTGGCCACCCAGAGCTGACTGTGTGTAAGACGCCAGATCACCTCAAAGTGCCATTGTTGGTGCTGCCACCTTTTAAAGACGTGCCAGCTGTCATTGGATGAACAAAATAAACAAACTCAATCACACTAAAGAGGGTGTTAGATTAAATCTTGGCCTAAGTGAGTCCTGTTTATAAAGATTAAAACTTTAGATTATGAATCAAAAGTTTTTTTTGTTTGTTGTGTGACTTTTATAAGTGGAGGGGGAATGTTGTCCCTATTTTGTCCCCACAAAGTTTTACTCATGCTGCCATCTACTGGCTGAAAACATCAACAACACACGAAATGAGTTCACACAGGAAGTTCTTAAAGCAGTGCCTGTAAAAGGGTCGTATTAGTTAATCGGTTACATTATGTGGAGCTTGATTTTGTATTATCTAATGCTTTCGTGTAAATTATTTTGCTTTGATGACTGAATCTGTAAATGAGCAAAATGAAAAAATTCAACTCTGTGAGGTGAAAATTATTCAAGTCAGGGTTGACGGGGTTTGCAGCTGAGTTCCCCAGTCCTGCTGTAAATGCTCCTCAAATTAAAAAAAGACAACCTTATATTTGTCAGAGCCTCCCTGATTATTTTCAAGATCAACTTCGTTTCTCTGTAGCTGAAATCCCTGTTGGCTGACTCATCAAAGGTTTTGGCACTGACTGTTTCAATGATCCAAAAAACTGTTTGTCCTTTCTGAGAGTTTCTGAGAGACTACATGAGAGATCACACTCTGAAATCTTTGATCGCAGTATTAACAAACTGTGAGAATCTGAATACTATCTCATGTTTTAATGTAGGCGTGTTTCAGACTGGTTTATAGTGGCCCCTTTAAAGAAATCAAACACTGTACAATTTAACTAGAGGAGTAAACATTGTATATTTAAATACATCCAGTCTTCTCTAAGCCTAGAAATGACGTTGAGTGCCTGAATATGATTTGCCCTGATCGTAACTGCTCCCACTTAGCAACAGACGGCTATTAGACATCTAGTTTTTTAGACCTAATTTTAACCGCCTAGATTCTGTAAAATTGCAAACAGAATTTATACTGAAATAGTTATGATAGCCATTGAGCAATATCGAGTGTCATATAGATACAGCCCAGATTTAGACTTGGTCTAAATTTAGACGTCTAAAAAACTTTCATTTTCAGATCTGTGGTAGCCTGATTTCAGACCAGACATCTAGGCTACATTTAGACGTCTATCAGTCCTCTTTTGACCAAAAACTGCTCAGTAGTCTGGATGCTCTTATTCTGATATGAACAAGTCATCTGTTTGTTTGTTTTTTCCACAGGAAATAGCCAAACGTTTGCAGGAGGAGGAGAAGCTGAGAGTCCGTAGGAGCAGCAGAGACCAGGAGGGGCAGAGTGAAGGTAAGGTACAAGCTTTACAGTTTGGTGAACCATCATATCGACTTTATACTTACGCTACAACATGAGTCAGCGATCTTATAGTAATGCAAACTTGTTTAAAAAAGCAGCCGTGATATTTAGATTTGTAGGTTTGGTCCATTCTGTCCCTGGGCTTGTTAGCTCCTCACAGACAGTGCTTCTCTTTCTTGCTAAATGTTGTTATTTTCAGTCTCCAGCATGAAGAGAAACATCCTGCAAAGCTTTTACACCATATTATTAACTTCATAATATGCTCTGACTCTGTTGCATGCATATAACACATGTTTTGAATAGTCTTGTAGGCATGATTTAATATCTGTATTCTCTTCTATGAATGTATGTCAACGTCTTTATTTTATCTAAAACATTTACGTATATGAAGTCATCGATACTCCATATGCTATTTTTATTTTGAACGTTATATTCTAGCGTGTCATGTTTAACCACACCTGTCTAATAATACCTGCTAGCAGCCTCACCCACCCTCCTGCTCTTTGTTGCATGTTTGGCATTACTAAAGGCAGCTCCCTCGATCCTGCTCTGCCTTCCCCTCAACAGCACACACTCAGCAGCACTTATCCAGGAGTCGAGCGGTACTCCTCTTCCACCACCAGGTGGCAATGTTCTACCTCACACAGACCTTCAGACTTCGCTGAGCCTCTGGCTGACTCCCCCAGGGGGTTAGCAGCTCAGAAAAACACAACTCCATGGTCGAATCAAGGACACAGAGATGCCTTTAGGGAAATAAGGAATAAATTGAGGGAGACTTTGAGCGAGGAGTCAGAGGACTCGGACTCGGTTTTCTCTGAACAGCTTTCTGTTCTGTCCCAGAGACTAAGGGAGAGGCTCACTACCGCACCTCCTCGTCAGCGGGCACCTTTGTATCATCCACAAGAGAGAAATTATAGAAGTCTTAGTCCCAGCAGCAGCTTCACAGATGAGCTCAGAGGCTGGAAGGAGGACAAAGGAGAGCGGGATGTGGACTCTAATGGAAATAGTGACCTAGAGAGGAGGAGGCCCAGGGTCTGGGAGTATAGAGAGGGGTATGAAGGTCGCCACAAGAGCAGAAATGAGGATAGAGACTCTAAGTTAGCTGAGGGGAGGGAGAGGCGATGTAGCCGCAGTGAATCCGTCAGGCTACATGACAGGAGCAGACACAGCAATAGAGACCTATCAAGAACCTGGAGCGTCAGGGAGAACCCTGATAAACATGTCCGCTTTCGGGATGACAGCAGGAGCACCAACAGGCAGCAGGGTGAAAGCAGCGGTGTGTGGGAGATGCTGGGCCAGGTCCTCATGGAGCGGGGTGTGCCTGTGAGGTTAGGCACCAACGGGGCGCCACTTCAAATAATTCCTCACAGGAGAGACAGTCAGGTGCTTCACGGGAGCGAGGCCTCCTACGGCGACTCCCAACCACATCAGAGAGCCTTCCAGAGAGCTGCCACCACCAGGCACAGTTTCCATGGAGATATCAGGGAGAGGAGGAGAACTTCATACCGGGAAAACAGCGGGAGAGATCACAGAGAAGACGGAGACAGGCACCGTAATAACGTGGACCATGACGGGGAGGTTTCTGAGATTAGTAGCAGAGACTCTTATTTTGATAACGGAGAAAGGCGAGGCAGTAGGAGGTGGAGAGAGCACAGATACTACGATGACGAGAGAGTGAGGAGTGCGAATGAGCCGGAGGTCAAAAGGACGCAGAGCCAACGCAGGCATTGGCACAGGACCATAGAGGAAAGGTTCAGCTCTGAGGAGGAGGAGGAGCAGGAGGGGGAGAGGAGGTCAGAGAGGCCTCGCAGAAGAGCTCTACGACACAGCCAGAGTCTCAGAAGCAGCAGTGAAGCTTCAACCAGGCATAGGTCAAGAAACATAGCAGCAGGTAACACCCAGATCTGCGGAGGGGACGCCTCCCCGCCTCTTTGTGTGCATCTGCTCCTCTCATCTTCCCTCAATCAGCCTTTAATCTGAACAAACTGAGATTGTAGTGGTGGTTCAGGGTTCGGGGTCTCTTGTTGGACTGGGGCATTTCCTTCTACATCTACAATTCTAAAAAAAAATCACCTCACACTTTCATTCTCATCTCCTTCCTCGTTGTTTTAGTCAAAGGGAATAAGTAGCATGGTGTGCTTTTCTTTGGTCTGATTCAAATGTCATCAGTCTTTGATTCTGAGCTGATCATGTTTGACGATCGTAGACTCTTCTTCTCTTATCGTGATTCCCGTCAGCTCCTTTGGGTTTAACTCGATTGAAACTCTCCCTCAGGAGCGTCACTGCAGCCCGAGTCAGACGAGGCGGGCCTGGACCTCAGGGATCTGCAGCAGGTCCTCAGGGATGAAGAGTTGGCTCGGAAGCTGCAGGAGGAAGAGGAGAAGCTGTCGAGACGGGTAAAGAAAACAAGAGTTTACTGACAAAGAACAAGGCTAACGAATCATCCTTTAATTTCTTATTTCTAATCTTTCATTCTCTTGTTTGTGCAGTACTCGCAGCCCTCACCGCGAACTTCTTACCCTGCAGGGGACTTCAGGGTTGCACAAGTAGCTCAAGATGAGGTGTGATACAATAAAAAAGTTCCAAGTCACATTTTATCTCTTGTTTTAAGCATCCAAACACGGGATAATCTGTTGTTTATGTTGTTCCAGGAAATAGCTCGTTTCATGCAAAAGCAGGAAATAAAATCAAAGCGTCGATCTCGTGAGCTGGAGGGACCTGAATCCTGGCGCGAGCACAGAGCGATGATGAGTCATTATGACAGACGAGCCACAAGAGACAGACAGGTAAATGTGTGATTGTAACCGGAGAGTAAATATCAGTCTGTACACGTGTCTTTGACGTCAGAGTTTCAGGGAGTATGGGAAGATTTCTTTACTCTTCTTAAGAGAGAACAGCTTTGTTTAAGACTTATGAGAAAAGAAGAAACTGTTGATTCATGTGTGGACATTTCACTCTGATCTTTGTCACACTTTGTCACAAGGGACCCAGTGGCAGGTGGGTCACTCATCATTCATCATGCATCATGCATCACGAGTTGGAATGTCTTTCAACACAAAACTTTCATTATTGAGTACTGAGAAAACACAGTTGACAGTCATTCCTCTGTTTTCAGGGAAAACCACCGCAAAGAAAAGTTATGTTTCTTTACTACACAAAGAACACAGTCTAGACCTGCTCGGTGATGTGTTTTAAGATGGTTTCACTGTTGTAAAATTGAGATCTCCTGAAGACGTCAGTTCAAGTGGAAAAAGACTGCGAAAAGGGCACTAGAGGGTTAAAATACCCATTTACCCCCAATTTCCACTGCATCTGGAAAGGCTACGAAAAGGCTGTGTCCGCCGATCGTAGTTGAAAGTAACCGTTCAAGTTAATATGTCAATTTCCACAGGCTTCTTTCTGTTCTGCTCCAGACGCCGGAGCACACCGGATATATTCAGCACAGATTAACCCGTGCTGGAAAGGAAGTCGGGCACAGACACAAAATAAAACATCCGGCATCTTTTCAAAATAAAACACTCCATGTTTCAGGCGGATCGTATTTTACACCATTTCCCCCTCTGAAGGGACATAATCTACTGCTTATAAGGTTATTTGGCTGTCTTTATATAGACAACATGTTACCCTGCGATGAATCCGTGGGTTTTTGTTAGTTCTCACTGTCCATAGTCCGCCACGAAATTTGCTTCACAAACGGATCCAGTAGGAATTGGCAGATGGCAAAAATTGCAGCTGTTCTGGATCAGAGCTGTTCCGGATATAGTGGAAATTCAGGGTTAGCTGTATGGCTCTGTTATCACTGCTGCCTTGTAAATGAAGGTTTCCCCCGTCTGTTCTCTTAGATTCAACGAGAGAGGCTCGACTCTGAGGGTCTTCCTTCCCCCACTGAGGACTGCTCCCCAGAAACCCTGCCCCCCAGTCCCATCTCCACTCTCCCGTAATGACTCAGCATACATGTACAAAACTCAAACTAACATCTGTGCCCCTGTATTTTTTTAAATTCTGACTTATAACCGCTGCGCTTACAGACAGACCCAGCCGGTCAGGAACATCGCAGAGGAGCTGGACCCCACTTTCCAGGCCAGACGCCTCGGCACAGACAGCCTCAGAGTGGAACTAACAGGTGCTGCGACCCCGTGGGAATAACAGTCAGAACGAAACTCACCGTGACAGTGATTTGACTCTCACTTTCTTTTTCTCTCCATGAAGGTCCAACTTGTCAGCCCGTCCCGGTCCCACAGTCTGGCTTGCATGAGTTCCTCGAGGAGCCAAATTTCATCCCTCCAACGAAGCGGCAAACAGAGAAAGCGGGGCGCAACAAACCCAAAGAAAAGAGGGAAAACTGCAAACAACAGTAACAGCTGTACTCTTGGGATGCATATTTATATTTTTTTAACACTAAAACCAGCTCATTAAAGAACTCATCATTACTTTGAGTTAAGATTCTCTTCCAGCCACCCCTGCTAGCACTTTAGACCTGAGAGAGTTTTGTCGCTTTAATCCAGTGAATGATGACACTATTTTGGATGCATGCCTTCTATAATTTTCAAAGGGAGAATTATAGCTCATCTATTGTATTATTGAGTGTTGAATAAACAGTACACCTTTTTATATTTATATTTGTTACTTTTTGTGTTATCTAGTTGGGCAATTTACAGTGAGTATCCGAAATGTCAACTGACACAAACAGGAAGTGACCACGATGATATCCTGTGAACCTGAGAGAGGCAGAGTTCAGAAGGAAGCTACTTTGAGACACTCTGTCCTGTTGTGTTTGCAAACTATCAGGAAAAAAACGCCCACGTTTACATATTTAGTTCAGTGACAATCAACTAATAATACTTCTTTGTAAAGACAGTAAGGTTTAGTATGTGAAGTATGTAAATTTTCTTACATATATCCTTTCGGAAAAAGACAATCCGAGCTTTTTGAATTGTGTCTCACTGAGGTTCACATTCTTAGCACCGTCCTTTACAGCTCATTATGATGTGACTTTTGTGAGATAATTAAGGCGCCGGTTTGAAGCTTCCAGATCTAATGACATACCTGATTTAATTCCCTCATGTTTATTTTGTTCGTTTGATTTTATGTTTATACATTCATTCATTTATAAATCAGTTTGTGTATGTATGTGACATGAAAGAAGGAATGAATACATGTATGTTTGTAGGAACAAATGTTTGAATAAATATATATTTCTGATGGTATGGCGTATTTATATATGTATGGGGAAAAAAGACTATGTATGAATGAAAGTATGAATGTGTATCTTTGTCTTTCGGTATACATGTATGAAAATATGCATTGACATAAATAAATATTTTATAGGTATGCATGTATGAATAAATGAGTGTTTGTGTTGTGCATGTCAGATTGTATTGATTACAGTATGTATGAATGCTTTTATAAATGTATGTCTGTGTGCAAGAACAAACGCATGTATGTGTAAATGAATGTATGAGTTTGTATGAATGTATATTCATATGTTTGTATGTCAGCCCCATGACTCTAACAGACCAGTGTATCCTGCTTTTAGACAGATTTCTGTTCACATACAAGTTTTTACAAACATCGTTTTTTCAGTGTTTGTGTTTTTGTAGGAATTGGCAGCATTAAATGAATTTGAGTTGGAAAAAAAACTGCCACTCATTGTGGTGAGTATTAATGCAAATTCTCAAGAGTAAAATAAAGTTTGTATAAAAGCATTTCAATAGTGTTCAACCCTATGCGTTCACTTTTACCCAATTGAAAAGTGTTTTTTTTTTTTTTTACGACTGCTTCTAAACGTCCCGGGAGGCACGTGGGGAAAACCTCACCTGTACACGAGCGGCAATCAGCACACCTGTTGTTACTCGTATTTGGTGAGTAAGTATCGTCTATTCGCGTTGTGAGAATTGTGACGGTGTGTCATTTTTGTTGTCCGGGGGCGATTTTATCCACAAAAACTGTTTTTGTCCGTAATTTCTTTGAAACTTTCGGGTAAGCTAAACTAGTTTAGCCCAAGCTCATTCGTGTCTCATTTTAATTTTAACTGAATAAAATTATCCAATAATCGATCATATCAGTTGTGTTCCTGTCTATGCTGCTCTGAAATCCTCTTAATATATTTAACCCATCAGCGCGAAAAAAGAAAATTCATATTTTAGTCCAGTTTAAAAAAAGTCATAGTATACTATGACCAAAATGTCAGATTTTTGGGTAAAATCTTTTTTCTGATTTTAGGATGAAAAAACATGTCATAGTACAGCCTGATCAAAATGCCATAGTATAGAATGTGAATAAATTCATATTTTAGCCTGAAAAAAGAAAATTCATATTTTGGTCCAGAAAAAAACGTCATAGTATACTATGACCAAAATTTCAGATTTTTTGGGGTAGAAAAAAATTTCAGATTTTAGGATGAAAAAACATGTCATAGTACAGCCTGATCAAAATGCCATAGTATAGGATGATAATCATTGCATATTTCAGTGCAAAAAAAGATAATTCATATTTTGGTCCAGAAAAAAAACGCCATAGTATACTATGACCAAAATTTCAGATTTTTGGGTAAAATCTTTTTTCAGATTTTAGGATGAAAATACCTGTCATAGTACAGCCTGATCAAAATGCCATAGTATAGGATGATAATCATTGCATATTTTAGCCTGAAAAAAGAAAATTCATATTTTGGTCCAGAAAAAAACGCCATAGTATACTATGACCAAAATTTCAGATTTTTGGGTAAAAAAAAATTAAGATATTAGGATGAAAAAACATGCCATAGTCAGCCTGTTCAAAATGCCATTGTATGGGGTGTTAAAAAGGGCATATTTTAGCAGGAAAAAGAAAATTCATATTTTTGTCCAAAAAAAAAACAAAAAACGCCATAGTATACTATGACCAAAATGTCAGATTTTTTGGGTAGAAAAAAAATTCAGATTTTAGGACGAAAGAACTCGTCATAGTACAACCTGATCAAAATGCCATAGTATAGGATGTGAATTATTTCATATTTTAGTGCAAAAAAAGATAATTCATATTTTGGTCCAGAAAAAAAACGTCATAGTATACTATGACCAAAATTTCAGATTTTTGGGTAAAATCTTTTTTCAGATTTTAGGATGAAGAAACATGACATAGTACAGCCTGACCAAAATGCCATAGTATAGGATGATAATCATTGCATTTTTAAGCCTGAAAAAAGAAAATTCATATTTTGGTCCAGAAAAAAACGTCATAGTATACTATGACCAAAATTTCAGATTTTGGGGTGAAAAAGAATTTCAGATATTAGGATGAAAGAACTCGTCATAGTACAGCCTGATCAAAATGCCATAGTATAGGATGTTAATCACTGCATATTTCAGTGCAAAAAAAGAAAATTCATATTTTGATCCAGAAAAAAAACCATCATAGTATACTATGACCAAAATTTCAGATTTTGGGGTAAAATCTTTTTTCAGATTTTAGGATGAAAAAACATGCCATAGTACAGCCTGATCAAAATGCCATAGTATAGGATGTGAATTATTTCATATTTTAGCCTGAAAAAAGAAAATTCATATTTTGGTCCAGAAAAAAACGTCATAGTATACTATGACCAAAATTTCAGATTTTGGGGAAGAAAAAAAATTCAGATTTTAGGATGAAAAAACATGTCATAGTACAGCCTGATCAAAATGCCATAGTATAGGATGATAATCATTGCATTTTTAAGCCTGAAAAAAGAAAATTCATATTTTGGTCCAGAAAAAAACGTCATAGTATACTATGACCAAAATTTCAGATTTTGGGGTGAAAAAGAATTTCAGATATTAGGATGAAAGAACTTGTCATAGTACAGCCTGATCAAAATGCCATAGTATAGGATGTTAATCACTGCATATTTCAGTGCAAAAAAAGAAAATTCATATTTTGATCCAGAAAAAAAACGTCATAGTATACTATGACCAAAATTTCAGATTTTGGGGTAAAATCTTTTTTCAGATTTTAGGATGAAAAAACATGCCATAGTACAGCCTGATCAAAATGCCATAGTATAGGATGATAATCATTGCATATTTAAGTGCAAAAAAAGGAAATTCTGTTTTTGGTCCAGAAAAAACGTCATAGTATACTATGACCAAAATTTCAGATTTTAGGATGAAAGAACTCGTCATAGTACAACCTGATTAAAATGCCATAGTATAGGATGTGAATTATTTCATATTTTAGTGCAAAAAAAGATAATTCATATTTTGGTCCAGAAAAAAACGTCATAGTACTATGACCAAAATTTCAGATTTTGGGGTGAAAAAGAATTTCAGATATTAGGATGAAAAAACATGTCATAGTACAGCCTGATCAAAATGCCATAGTATAGGATGATAATCATTTCATATTTTAGCCTTGAAAAAGGAAAATTCATATTTTGGTCCAGAAAAAAACGCCATAGTATACTATGACCAAAATTTCAGATTTTTGGGTAAAATCTTTTTTCAGATTTTAGGATGAAAAAACATGTCATAGTACAGCCTGATCAAAATGCCATAGTATAGGATGTGAATTATTTCATATTTTAGCCTGAAAAAAAGAAAATTCATATTTTGGTCCAGAAAAAAAACGCCATAGTATACTATGACCAAAATTTCAGATTTTTTGGGTAGAAAAAAAATTCAGATTTTAGGATGAAAAAACATGTCATAGTACAGCCTGATCAAAATGCCATAGTATAGGATGATAATCATTGCATATTTTAGTGCAAAAAAAGAAATTCATATTTTGGTCCAGAAAAAAAACGCCATAGTATACTATGACCAAAATTTCAGATTTTTGGGTAAAAATTTTTTAATATTAGGATGAAAAAACATGCCATAGTCAGCCTGATCAAAATGCCTTAGTATAGGATGATAATCATTGCATATTTTAGCCTGAAAAAAGAAAATTCATATTTTGGTCCAGAAAAAAAACGCCATAGTATACTATGACCAAAATTTCAGATTTTTGAGTAAAAAAAATTTCAGATTTTAGGATGAAAAAACATGTCATAGTACAGCCTGATCAAAATGCCATAGTATAGGATGATAATCACTCTATATTTAAGTGCAAAAAAAGAAAATTCTGTTTTTGGTCCAGAAAAAACGTCATAGTATACTATGACCAAAATTTCAGATTTTAGGATGAAAGAACTCGTCATAGTACAACCTGATTAAAATGCCATAGTATAGGATGTGAATTATTTCATATTTTAGTGCAAAAAAAGATAATTCATATTTTGGTCCAGAAAAAAAAGTCATAGTATACTATGACCAAAATACAGATTTTGGGGTGAAAAAGAATTTCAGATATTAGGATGAAAAAACATGTCATAGTACAGCCTGATCAAAATGCCATAGTATAGGATGATAATCATTTCATATTTTAGCCTTGAAAAAGGAAAATTCATATTTTGGTCCAGAAAAAAAACGCCATAGTATACTATGACCAAAATTTCAGATTTTTGGGTAAAATCTTTTTTCAGATTTTAGGATGAAAAAACATGTCATAGTACAGCCTGATCAAAATGCCATAGTATAGGATGTGAATTATTTCATATTTTAGCCTGAAAAAAAGAAAATTCATATTTTGGTCCAGAAAAAAAACGTCATAGTATACTATGACCAAAATTTCAGATTTTTTGGGTAGAAAAAAAATTCAGATTTTAGGATGAAAAAACATGTCATAGTACAGCCTGATCAAAATGCCATAGTATAGGATGATAATCATTGCATATTTTAGTGCAAAAAAAGAAAATTCATATTTTGGTCCAGAAAAAAAACGCCATAGTATACTATGACCAAAATTTCAGATTTTTGGGTAAAAAAAAAAATTAAAATATTAGGATGAAAAAACATGCCATAGTCAGCCTGATCAAAATGCCTTAGTATAGGATGATAATCATTGCATATTTTAGCCTGAAAAAGAAAATTCATATTTTGGTCCAGAAAAAAAACGCCATAGTATACAATGACCAAAATTTCAGATTTTTGAGTAAAAAAAATTTCAGATTTTAGGATGAAAAAACATGTCATAGTACAGCCTGATCAAAAAGCATTGTATTCGATGTTAATCACTCTATATTTAAGTGCAAAAAAAGAAAATTCTGTTTTTGGTCCAGAAAAAACGTCATAGTATACTATGACCAAAATTTCAGATTTTAGGATGAAAGAACTCGTCATAGTACAACCTGATTAAAATGCTATAGTATAGGATGTGAATTATTTCATATTTTAGTGCAAAAAAAGATAATTCATATTTTGGTCCAGAAAAAAAAGTCATAGTATACTATGACCAAAATACCAGATTTTGGGGTGAAAAAGAATTTGATATTAGGATGAAAAAACATGTCATAGTACAGCCTGATCAAAATGCCATAGTATAGGATGATAATCATTTCATATTTTAGCCTTGAAAAAGGAAAATTCATATTTTGGTCCAGAAAAAAAACGCCATAGTATACTATGACCAAAATTTCAGATTTTTGGGTAAAATCTTTTTTCAGATTTTAGGATGAAAAAACATGTCATAGTACAGCCTGATCAAAATGCCATAGAATAGGATGTGAATTATTTCATATTTTAGCCTGAAAAAAAGAAAATTCATATTTTGGTCCAGAAAAAAAACGTCATAGTATACTATGACCAAAATTTCAGATTTTTTGGGTAGAAAAAAATTCAGATTTTAGGATGAAAAAACATGTCATAGTACAGCCTGATCAAAATGCCATAGTATAGGATGATAATCATTGCATATTTTAGTGCAAAAAAAGAAAATTCATATTTTGGTCCAGAAAAAAAACGCCATAGTATACTATGACCAAAATTTCAGATTTTTGGGTAAAAAAAAAATTAAAATATTAGGATGAAAAAACATGCCATAGTCAGCCTGATCAAAATGCCTTAGTATAGGATGATAATCATTGTATATTTTAGCCTGAAAAAAGAAAATTCATATTTTGGTCCAGAAAAAAAACGCCATAGTATACAATGACCAAAATTTCAGATTTTTGAGTAAAAAAAATTTCAGATTTTAGGATGAAAAAACATGTCATAGTACAGCCTG